CGGCCAATAATGAATATTTCATTTTAATCATATTTTAAAATTAGTATTATTGTATTAGTTATCTGTTTTAACTGGCTGTAAGCCGCCCTGAGTCCGTTAGGAGAAGGGCGGGGTATAAATTTGATAAATAATAATAATAATAATAATAATAATAATAATAATAATAATAATAATAATAATAATAATAATAATAATAATATATGCTTTACTAGCATCCCAGACCATTGAAATCAAAGTGTCTTTATTTCAATTGATCTCTACATTTCTGCAAGTTTATATCATATCTAAATAAATTTTCATTCAATCTCCAAGTTCTTCTATTCCCCTCTTCAGCAAATAATTCCATCCATACAGGACTATGATCCGACAATGTCCTAGGAAAAATCTTAACATTCTTCACCCTGGAAAAGAAATCATTGGTAATTAAAAAAAAATCAATTCTAGAATAAGATTGGTGCCTATCCGAAAAAAAGTATAGTCTCTTTCTTCCATATTTTGTTCTCGCCAGATGTCTTTTAATTCCAGTTCATCCTTCAGATCAAAAAAGGTTTTAGGCAATGTTGAATTAAAAGCTTTACAGGAACCTTTCTTATCTCTTCTTGAATTTAAAACACCATTCCAATCTCCCATCATAATAACTGATTTGTAATCCAATTGATTTAATTTCCAATGTAACAATTTATAAAACTGTTTCTGCTGTTGATTTGGGGCATATAATCCAATAATAAGACATTTCTTCCCATTCAATAATATTTCAATAAAAACATATCTTCCTTTTGGATCAGAGTCAATCAATTTAGGCAAAAACTCTTTCCTAACATAAATAACTACCCCGCCTCTTTTCTGAGGCGCGGGTGCCATAAAATGTATTCCCAACCGTGAATTAATCAAATATTTTTGATCCTTTGCTGTAATGTGAGTTTCTTGTAAACAAACAACATCATTTTTATGTTGCTTCAAATAATAAAATATTTTTTTTCTTTTCTGTGGAGAATTCAAACCATTAACATTCCATGTCAGGAACCTTGCCATCTTTAATGGCAGTGAGCCTCTGGAACGCTCCTTGTAAATCAGCTGTTACTGATCTCTTCGGCCTCGCTCCTCCTACTGGCTCTGAGATTACTTGCTGTGCTGTAAGTACCACATCCACTTTTTGTTGCTCTCTTTCTTTGCGTCTGTGAGCTGCACGGGTCATTCTTTGTGATTTCGGATCATCTTTAATTTCCATAAATTGTTGCTTAACTTGATCCTGGTCTTGTAGATTTATAATACTTGATGATGATATGGCTCCTTCAGCCACTTTATCTTCAAAGATTCCTTCCTTCCTGGTACCTTGCAGAGACAATGGTGAGCCTACTTTCAAAATTGAAATATAAAAGTCCCTTGCCTTTGCAATTGTATTAAGCCAATAACGTGTACCCATGTAATTGACCATTATACCAACAGGTATATCCCATCTGAATTGAATTTGTCGCTTTTTCAACTCTTCAGCCAGGAAGGCGAAATCCTTCCTTCTTCTAAGTATTTTGGGTGGTATCTCCTTTAAAATTATAACATCTTGTCCTAAAATTTGAAATTTCTGCTTGTAAAAAGCTTGAATAATTTCATTACGGATTGATTTTCTGGAAAAGTAGATAACAACATCTCTTGGAAGGTTTCTGTCTTGCAACCCATGAATTGACTCTAAACTTTTTTTCCATTTCTCTCATAATTTCCTCAGGTTGACAGGACAAAACCAAGGCCAAATCTGCTGCAATCTCTTCCTCCAATTTTTCTTGAACATTCTCTTTCAATCCCCTTATTCTCAAAGCATATTCCATTTCTCTATATTGTGACATAGTGACCTCATTTTGAGTTAAATCCACGTCCCTTTTCAATAGAAATTATAGGGATAATTTCTGCTAACTTTAAATATATGTGGGTTGTGCAATTATTTTCATTACTGAATACTGAAATGGTATTCATCAATTTGTGATTAATGAATGTCACCTTGGAATTTTGTTCCCAAGATATTCCTTTCTTCTATTATTGATATAAAGGTAAAAGTAAAGCTTTTCCCCTTCCAGTCATTTCTGACTCTAAGGGGTAGTGCTCATCTCTGTTTCTTGGCCGAAGGAGCCAGTGTTGCCTGAAGACATTTCCATGGTCATGACTATATGCTGAGGCACACAGAATGCTGTTACCTTTTCACCAAAGTTGTACCTATTTTTCTATTCACATTTGCATGTTTTCGAATTGCTAGCTTGGCAGGAACTGAGGCAAGTAATGGGAGCTCACCCCATCATACAGCACTCAAGTCTTGAACCCAGGCTATCAGTTTTCCAGCTGACAAGATCAGCATCTTTACCATTGAACCACCACACCCCTTAGTATTGGTATATGAAAATACATTTCAGAAAATCAGTCAGAATTCAAATTATTTTTCATTCAGAAAATATGTTTGAAAAATATAAAAATGTAAAATGACATTAATCACCCTTCTATAATTGTAACCAACTTTTTATAACCTAGGAATATTCAAAAATGATACTGAAAATAATTCCTAGGAGGGAATCTATTTTGGATCAGGATTCTTACAAACAAGGTTGTAAAACTATTTTCTGTCACTATTGTGATATATCAGAGCTTACAGTATGAAACATATAACACAAAAGCAGCAAAATAAAACAATTTGGCTCTTTAATTATAGCCTCCCTTCGACCAGTCCGCTCCCACAGAGAGGGCCTCCTTAGAGTGCCGTCGGCCAGACAATGCCGGCTGGCGACCCCCAGGGGGAGAGCCTTCTCTGTGGCAGCTCCTGCCCTCTGGAATGACCTACCCCCCGACCTACGTACAGTTGCGGACCTGCGCCTTTTTCGCCGAGCCCTGAAGGCCCATCTATTCCGTGCNCGTGCGGCCGGCCTGGCGTAGTTTGATTATGTTTTAGTGGGGGTTTTGTATGGGGTGTTTTTAGAACAGGCCTGTTATTTAATTTGATTTTAGAACAGAAACTATTTATTTATTATTGTGGTTTTTAGTATCGCCTGTTCACCGCCCTGAGTCCCGTAAGGGAGATAGGGCGGTATATAAATTTAATAAATAAAATAAAAAATAAATAAAATAAAAATAAAGAAAGGGAGAGAGATGGAGAGAGGAAAGGAATGGAAACAGAGTCATCAATGAAACCGCTGCATTGAACCCTCAGTCTAGGATGGGAGGGGTGCAGAAAATTCCCCCATCAATGTAATCAACATTTCTGTCCTCTGCAATGATTCCCATTATATGCTTCCTTTTCGTGCTTATTTCAGCACCATAGAAGCGAGGAGGGGGAAAGAGACAGAGACGGCGCTAGCGAGAAGCCAGCGTACAAAGCGTCAGCACAGCTGCTCCGAGAGAGAGCAAAGAAGGGGGAAAGTCGAAGTGCGATGAGCAACGCCAGGCTCTCATCTCCCTCCCTATTTTTCCAAGCTGGCACTGTGTTTAGAGAGGGCGCTCATCGTGCAGTGTTTAGCAGCAGGGGCTGATAGAACTGCAAAGTCGCAGGAAAGGTGCTCTGAAGAATCTGCTTTCCAAGTCCAAGAAAGACTGGATCTGGACAGCTGGCATCGGAGCAATTAGTCTCTCTCTGTTTATCTGTCTGTCTCTCTGTTTATTTGTCTGTCTCTCTTTTCCTCTGAAGCTGGCCTTCCCCTTTTCAGATTTTCCAGGAGAACATTGGCAGGTGTCAAATCCCATTGTAAAATTTCTTTGTGCTTCCTTTTCTTGTGGGATTGTGTGGCTCTCTTGCATTATCCTGATGTGATTTTCTGACCACCCTCTTGTTTTGGAATCATGGGCATCTTTTGGGTTTATATTGGATTCCATTTCTTCATAGTATTTTACATACAGCAAGGACTTTCTTCTCAAGGTAAGAGCCACCATTTGTCAAGATTGGAATAGAGGGAATCTGGTAGACAGAAAAAGAACAGGGGGGTGGGTATTGAAGTAAGCGCTCCTTGTATTTCCCTTTTTAAATCTTACGTTCATCAGAAGTGAGTACAATATAAATATGTGCATTCAGTTTCCAGACACAAATGTAGCATAAAAATCTTATAGATGAGGATGAAGGTTCATTAATTATAGATTCATCCTACACCCGAGCTATTCACCACTATTGCAATCTTATAGATATATTGCTGTTTATATCTGAGCAGTGCTTTCATTTAAAAAGAGGTTGTTGATTTGTTTTTTAAACATAGAGGTTATATATGTAATTTTCCAAACCTTCTTTTCAGAATTCAGAATCATGGAGTGTGTGGAAAAGAGAATTTGTTTTTCTGCTTTAAATAGTACAGTTTTTTTTAGAATGTCACTCTCTCCTCTCTCCCCTCCCTCTCTTCTGTTTTCCCCTATAATCCTATGTTCATGTTCTCAAACCTTGGTTTCTGTCTGTATTTCTGCAAAGACTATTCCGTTTGCTGGCCCCAAATGCCCTGACAAAGGCACCATCTGCATTACAAGTAGCCCCTGCTCTACAGAATCCATCCAGTTGTTTGAGACTTTAAAGGCTGCAGTGTAGATTTCAGCACCATGGAGAGAAATCGTATCAGGACTCTCCTCCAAATACTGTACAGACAACCAGAAATGCCATTAGCAATTTTTGGCTTATTTATTTGTTTAACTTTAGACATAGATGGGGCCGGAGTGAGGGAATAATAATCAGCAGGAATATGATTACTTTTTCTTTTTTACTAGCAATGAGTTTCTATACTAGCAAATGATTGGGAGGGGGATAGTGTGGGAGACTTTCTTTTCAAAGAAAACACAGAGAGAGAGAGATCCCTGAGAAAGATCCCTGTGGCTGTTCGCAATCTTAAAAAGTGAAGAGCAATCAAGGATTTTCTCCAATTACACAGCAATGAGCCACAGGATATAATCAAGCACATATATGTGTGATATTATGGAAGACTTTTCAGCATGTCCACTGTGACTCTGTAATATCACAGAACTGAAGTGGTCAAACTGGTGCTTACTGTCTGAAAACTGAAAGCAAGATGTGGTGGTGGCTTAATTGAGCAGATTACTTTCCCAATGTTCCTGTGGGGATATAAAGGGCATATGCCAATTTTTCTCTCAAATATGTATTAAGAAATATGTTCTTTATTTTGTGTTTTTCAAAGAGATAGCTGGGACTGAACTAATAAAGCAAAGTATTTTGAGTGTTTGAATCTTCTGAACTAAAATATTATCTACTTTTTATTTAGTGTGGTATTTCAAATAAAATTAAGAATGACATTAAGTAGGATTTAACCACAGGAAGTTTTATAAGGAATGCCATAACACACTTTTCAAATCTTGTTTTTAAAAATAAAAAAAGAAGCATGCTATTTTGATAATTACTTAATACCTAATAGGTAAATATACAAACAAGAAACATTTGGATTGTTTGATATATTTCTCTAATTCCTAAGGAAAATTATTGAAATACTGCCTTCCATACATTATTTGCACTTCATTATATGTAATTGTGCAAATATTTCTATAGTTTTTCCATTCGCCCATGGACAGAAGTGGTTCTTAGACAAATATGGATGAAAAATAAAAGTGATTATTAATACTTCAAAGGAGGACATAGAACAGAAAAGACATGAACATTAGTACAAGAAAAAGAAAGAAAATGGGGAAAGAGAGTACTGCAATCCTAAGTGTGCTTAGTTGAGTTTAAGTCTTATTCAATCAACTAATCAGGTACATGCAAAATCTTCTGCATGATCACTTATAAATATGATCTGGTGAATGCAGTGCAATTTATTCCCATGTGCATCTGTATAAGATTATATTCCAAAGAAAGGAAATCAAGGAAATGAATAGAGGGGGGTGAGTAAAGACAGAAAAAGAGAAAAAGAATCCTAATGAGATCTGCTTTTCTTTTCCAGCCAAATTTACTGAATTCCCTCAGAATATCACAGCTACTGAGGGGCAGAATGTGGAGATGTCTTGTGCATTCCAGAGTGGCTCTGCCTCAGTGTACCTGGAAATCCAGTGGTGGTTTCTGAGGGCAACTGAGGACCAAGAAGCTGGAGCTGAGTTGACGGACACTCAGGTACCAGCTCACATCCTAAGCACTTCATAAGCAGCTAGAAAATAGAGATTCAGGGAACAGATCTGGTTTTCCCTGAAAATGCAATATACTCACTTACCAGGAGAAGTTTAAAAAAAAATCACTGAACAAGAGACAATGCCAAGGGATAGAACCCTGGCTTTTTATTTCATTGCTAACAGGTTTTGAAAGATCTGTTATTCTTAGGCATGAGTAAAAGATATATACTCTTAAGGAGTGTAAATTTGATCAATGCAAAGCATATAATTTTATAAAGAACTTATTAGATTTCATGTGAGCTTTATTCCTTATGTTGAGACAGAATGGAAAATACATGTTTGCGTCTTTCAGATTCTGCCTACTCATCTCTGCAATGTCTTTGTTATGTCCAGACAGTTTCAGAATTCATTAATATTATTGAAGCAAGAGATATCTAAACAAATTATCTAGCTAACTATAGCAATGAGGAATGGCTTTTGCTATCAGTAATGAGTTGAACATAATTTTCTTCCTCAAACCCCCCCCATGATTTTTAGATAAAGTCTACTAATATTCAAAGGAGGACATAGAACAGAAGTTTCCATGGGTTAATGAAGTGAAATGTCTTCAAGGAAAAACAAAGAAAGTCCAATTGTCTTTTGAAAAAGCATCTTTGAGACAACCATGATCTGGATGACTGAGAATTGCCACAGACATTTAACTATTCGTTACTATCCTCTTAAATTAAAATTTTAGTCTAGAATTAATGATGGTCAGTCCATCCAAACATGTTTTATATTATTCCATAAAATTCATTTTATATACAGGATATTATCTGGACTTTTAAAATATTCCTGTGGATTCCAGATTAGATCCAGAGTATATTAGATCCTTTCAAGCTATTTCCAGACCAATCTGTTTAGCCTCAGGATTCAAGATTTATTTTATTTTAAGTGGTAATGGTGGTAATGGTGGGGAATAGATTGAGATTGTGGATTTGTTTTATATTGTGATAAACTGAAATAAACTCTACATTGAATACTTACTATTACTTATTCATTAATCAGCAATATGCAGAATCAGTTCTGTATCTCATGTACTCACTGATAAATTCACAATGCAATAAACTTATTTTCTCTTCTCTCTGAATTTTTGATAAAAATACCTCCAGTGGAGGTAAACATGTCAGCTCACAGCATGTGCCTGATTATTATAGGCAGTGCTTGGCTCCAGCCAGATCATTCTTTGGATCTATCTCCCAAGAGACAAATCTTTGTCATGTATTCAGAGTTTCTGTTTGCTTTGTTTTATTACCTAATCTGGAAATTTAATTTAAAAAATTTGAAAACTAGACTGGTTACAATAATAGCTCTGAAAAGAAAAAAAATGGAAGAACCTTCATGAGGATATAAATTAAGCTATTGCAGGATGAAAGCCTCTTCAATGAAACTTATGGACCATCATGTCTTGTGGTGGTCCAGTGTGGCTTAATTAACCAGTGTTGTTATTTAAGAGAATATGGACTTGAATTACTTCTGTTAGACCAGGCATGTCAAACTGCCAGCCCACAGGCTGGATGCATCATACTGAAACCACGCTCACCCATTGCCGGCAATGGGGGAAAAGTTGCAATACATCGCACGACATCACGTGACGTCACGAGTTTGACATGCCTGTGTTAGGCCCTGGGATGAGGTAAGGACATTCTTTGAAGCAACATTATTCATATGAGTAGATACTCTCATGTCCATAGTAGTCAACCAGATGGTTCTGGGGTGAAAGACACTTTCCTGTTATTTGTCAATTGCCATCAGACTTTTAATAGTAGATTACCTCTACTTTGCTGTAACTACTAGAGAGACCCCTAACTATGAATTTGGCAAACACATATTTAACAATGCTTAAGGTAAGATATTATGTCTGACCTATTTCCTGCACCTGCTTTGCCTACTTATTGCATAATGTGATGATGGTATCGCATTATGCAACAAGTAGGCAAAGCAGGTGCAAGAAATAGGTCAGACACATATATGTTATACTGAACCACAGCAGATTCTCATAATGATCTCATATGTATATTATGCAGTCACTTAGTGACCCATATGTCTAATTATATAAGCAATGACTCAATCTTGCAATAAGTACAGATCAGCAGCATTCTAGCACATTTGAAAACCTGTAAATACCTCAATTGTTAGAGATTCTTGCTTTACAATCTTATTGTAGATTGCAAATTGGAGTAATTTGAAATGAGAAGTGATGGAATTTCATTTTTACATAAGAAATGTCTTGCCTTCAGTATGTAAAAACAGTTATTCATTCCCCAACAGGTGGAATTATCACCAGAGAGAGACTTGGACAATGATGGAACAAAGATAAGTGTAAGTCTATGACAAAATATAGAGTAGTTTATTTTATTTTAAAGGACTTTCCACTTGCTTTGTTCTCTTTAATTATCAACCATACCAAAACCCATCAGCCTTGGACTGATAAATGCCATTTCCCATGCCTTTCCATATCTTTCCCATGCCTTTGGGATAAAAAACATAGAAGCTGTAGATAAATAAACTGCATTTTCTGAAAAAAGACAATATGTCTCATAACTATCTTCTTCAGGAATTAACACCTTCATGTGGATATATTGGCAATAAAGTTGTCACTGCTATCCTCCTAAATGGAAATTTTGAAGGTGCCTTCTTAGCTGTAGCATCTAAAGGAATGCCAATGAATACACCATAAGAAACTGATCAAAGTATCTCAAGGAATTCTACATATTTCTGGATCCATAGGCAACACTGATGCAGTTTCTTAAGTCAATCTATGTTGAGCATGTTTTTATCAAACCCTGAAGATTTTCCTGACTGGTAAAGGAGCACTCCACCATTATATTGCTTATATGTCTCTAGGTTTTGCAGCAGGTGCACGTATTTGAAGTAAATTATTTGTATTGTATGACATGCCAGTAACAGAGCTGTCTTCAGACCCTGTTTTTGAGGTGTTCTCCATTTTAATTTAATTTAATTTTTTTGATGAGAAGGAATTAATTCTGTGAGCATTCATTTGAAAGATGTTTGGGAGAATATATAAATGCTACATAGGCTGTTGGTTTCATCTCTGGGCTTGGTAATTAGGTTGCATAAATGCTACATAATTATCCAAGTGACAACAAAATAATATTTTACAGTCTTTTCAGAGTTAGGTAGCCTCTAAATCTCGTAAGTAAGTAATTAAGTAAAGTAAATAACTAAGTAAATGTCTATTGATACCATGGACAATATTCTTAGAATAATATTTTTAAGTCAAGCTAAAACAATCTTAATAACATGGGTTAATATTTCTCAAGAAGTTCATATATTTTTTGTTGGGAAACATAGCCTGCAAGAATTGCAATAAACAAATAAGATTGCTATAGTAGAAGGAATATTTATCTTGGGGGGGGGCATACGGCAGGATCAAGTGAAGGGCAGGGTATGCTACGGGAGCCAGATAGCAGGCTATTACAGGGGAAGATGCCCCCCAATATTTAATATCAGTGGTATGTTCCAGACCCCTGAACTCATCCCTATTCCCTGGACAGCACACACACCCCAGAGACCTTTGGGTCCAGCTACTGCTGCTGAATGCCAGGTTGTTCAATAATAAAGCTCCTTTTGTTCAATATCTTATTAAAGAGGAGTAAGCCAACCTGGCATGCATTGCTGAAGCCTGGCTGATCCTGGAAGGTGGTTTGCCCTGTTGGAAATGTGTCCAGGTTTGACAAAAGGGAAGTCCCCAAGACAGAGGAGGTTGGGTGGCAGTAGTTATCAGAGAGTCTTTTTTGTTGTTGTGTTGACTTTCAGGGGCCTTGCTCCATAAATCTCTGGTTGTAAGACTCTGTTCCTGAAGTTGGGCTCACAGGATCAGATGGGATTGTTGCTAGTATACTAGCCTCTCTGCTGTGCAGCAACCTTTCTGCCTGAGCTGCTAGGACTCGTGGTGTAGTTCTCTAGTCTTATGGTTCTGGGGGACTTCAATCTGCATTGAAGAAGCCCAGGAATTCATGGCAGCCATGGGCCTATCTCAGATTATAACTGGCCCATGGGCCTATCTCAGATTATAACTGGATAGTGGTCAGTGGATCAGTGGACTTGATCTTTTTGCTGGAACAATGGCAATGTGACCTGGTGGAGGATGTAAGATTATCTCCCCTTGTCATTGTGTCCTTGAGTCCTTGAGACTCTAGTATTCTGCCCCCCCCTCCACAGGAAGACTGGACCCACTTGGATGATCCACCCCCAGTGACTGATGGATCCTGATGGGTTCCAGAGGGAACTGGAGAATATCACGGAGGTGTTGCTGCATGGTCCTGTTGAAGCTGTGGTGGCAACCTGGAATTTAAGGGCTACCATTGCTTTGGACAAGATTGTGCCCATGCAGCCTCTCTTGACTCATCATTCCAGATGCTCCCCATGGTTTACAGAGAAGCTACATGTTCTGAAAAGGGCCAAAAGATGCCTAGAGTGCCACTTGAGGAAGATAATGGATGACTCCAACAGGACACCACTTAGAACAGCTATTAAGGGCTACCTCGTGGCAGTACCTTGTGGTGAAACAGCAGTATTTCCCTGCTCTTATTGCATCCTCAGAGTGCTGTCCAGAAGCCCTGTTTTGGGTTGCCCATTCCCTACTAGATCAGGGGAGCTTGGGTGATATTTTGCAGGGTCAGGCAGAGGAGTTTGTCCAGCACCTGATGGACAAAGTTGCTCAGATCCATTCCCAGTTGGACCTTATGCATAGAACTAGTCCTTGTGAGATGCCCATGGAGAAGTCTCGCCTGTTATCTGGGAATGGTTTGATCCAGTTGGCCCTGATGAAGAGGATAGGGCTCCTCTGTCAGTGCTGTCAGTGCCACCATCTTTCAGTTAGATCCTTATCCTTCCTGGATGGTGAATGCCTCCAAGATGGTGACTAGTGGATGGGTCCAGCTAGTGATTAATATATCACTAGAAGAGTGGACATTTCTGGATGCTTTTAAGCAGTCTCTCGTTCACCCTCTCCTTAAAAAACCATCACTGGATCCCACTTGGCTGGACAATTTTCATCCAGTTTCCAACCTCCCATTCTTAGGGAAGGTTGTGGAAAAGGTGGTGGTCTGGCAGCTGCAAAGGATCCTGGATGGAACGGATTATCTAGACCTCTTTCAGTTAGGATTCAGATCTGGTTATGGGATGGAAATGACATCATGCTTGTCAATGATCTCTGCAGGGGATGGGGATGGGTGGTACAGTTTGCGCTGGTTTGGGTCCTTTCTCTGTGGCAGGTCCCAGTCGGTATCAATAAGGAGTGAGAGGTATAGCCGTCAGCCGTTATTCTGTTGTGTATCACAGGATTCGGTACTATCTCCACTCCTTTTTAACCTCTATATGAAACCGCTGGGTGAGATAATCCGTCATCATGGATTGAGGTATATATTGTGTGTTAATGAAACCCAATTCTATATTTCCACTCTTGGTGTCCCATGTGATTCTGTGACCACCTTTTAACAGTCCCTAGAGGCTGTGGGGGCCTGGATGGGGGACAACAAGCTGAATTTGTTTCTAATATTAAATATTTTTTTGTACAAATATTTGCTCTACTTACATCATACAAATTGATCAGAAAATGGCGTTATGTATGTTTATATAATTAAAGACATTAGATATGGGCATATTTTTTGAGAAATGGTTCATGAAACTTCAGTATAAAACAAAAGCTGCATGTGTTGTATTGAACTTTAGCCATTCACACATATAATCAATATCATAACATTCCTGTCTTTTGGGCACTGTAAATTACTCAGTTAATGTGAATCTAAGGCTGAGATAATTCAGGCTCAAATACTTCCATGTTGTGCCTACACTGGCATGAGTTTATCACTCCTGTTTGACATGAAAAACGTATGAAAAGCACATATTTAAAATTGAATAGTAAATAGGTGACTGAAAAAAGTCAGCTGATTTCAACAAACAAAAACAAAAGTCCTCAATGGAATTACATCTTCATGGAGGGAAGCATATAATAGGATACTTCAAGGTTCTATCTTGGACCCAGTGCTCTTCAACATCTTCATAAATAATCTAGATGAAGGGATAGAAGGAGAGCTCATCAAATTTGCAGAGATACCAAACTGGGATGAATTGCAAGCACCTTGGAAGTTTGACTCAGGATTCAGAAGGATATTGACAGACTTGAACACTGGGCCTTATATAACAAATACAGTTCAGTAATGAGAAAAGTAAGATCCTGCACTTAGACAAGAAAAACCAAATGCACATGTACAGTATAGATGGTACCTCACTCAATAGTAGTAACTGTGAGAGGGATCTAGGTATCCTAGTGGACCACCACTTAAATAGGAGTCAGCAGTGTGCCACAACTGCCAAAAAAGCCAATATAGTCCTGGATGCATCAACAGAGGGATAGCATCAAAATCATGAGAAGTGATAGTACCACTTTATACTTTAACACAAGGGTCCCCAATCCCTGGTTCATGGACTGGCTGCGGCATGCATGTGGGATGCAGGCAGCACACAAAACCACACACTCTCCAATCCGTGGAAAAACCTTTCTCCTTGGAACCAGCCCCTGGTGCCCAAAAGGTTGGGGACCTCTGCTTTAACAAACTTCCATCCACTGCTTTTTTCCCTCCCTCAGGTACTTTGGAAAATAAGTCTATCCCATATTCTCTGTGGCAGCCCCTCAAATACCAGCTATCATGTAAACCCTAATCCTTCTTTTTGTTGGGCTAAACATACCTAGTTTCCTTATCCGCTCATCATACAGTTTAGCCTCCAAACCCTTATCAACTTTGTTGCTCTTCTCTGCACTCTTTCCAGGGTCTCAGCATCTTTTTTTTAATTGTGATGAACAGAACTGGATGCAGTATTCCAAGTGTGGTCTTGTATGATGAACAGCTAAGGGAACTAGATAGCCAAACAAAGAGAAGGATTAGGAATGACATGAGAGCTGTCTTCCAGTTCTTCAGGGGCTGTCACAGAGAAAAAGGGATTGACATTCTCCAAAGTATCTGGACAAGAGGCTACAGATGGAAGCTCAGAGAAATCCAATCTGGAACTAAGGAGAAATTTCCCTACAATGAGATCAATTAATCAGTGGAACAGCTTACCTCCCAGAATTATAGCTATTCCATCACTGGAGGTTTTCATGAAAAGATTGGACAGCCATTTGTCCAGGATGGTATAAGGTCTTCTGGCTTGGGCAGGGATTGGGTTAGAAGACCTCCAAAGTCCTTTCCAGCCCTGGAATCTGTAATCCTATTACTCTGATATGGAAAATTAAAAAACTAGAGTACAATTATATATTAGATATATTTTCTGAAAATATGATCTATCAAAGACATGTA